ATATATATATATATATATATATATATATATATATATATATATATATATATATATATATATATATATATATATATATATATATATATAACCGCGTGCGTAGTAAAATTGGTACGTGGCTCGATGCATACTTTATGTCAAATCATATTAAATAAATAGATTCACTAAATCAAGACATTTAATGGGTAGATTGATTGTCCAATAATATATACTACCTCAGTCCCATTGTCTTTGTCTAGTTTTGATTTTTGGAACTGTTATCTAAGCACTTTGACTCATCAAATTCTCTCAAATTCTAAGTCTAAAAATAGTCATGTGTGATCTTGTTTGATTCGTCTTAACATATAGATTATTAATATATAATTTATATAATTTTTTAATATACAAATTACAAGATAAAATGGATTAAAGAAGTGTATTGAATGGTGTGCCAAAAGGTAAGTGGACAAAGACAGTGGGACGGAGGGAGTACTTCCTTCGTCCCCCTGTATTTGTCCACTTTCATTTTTCCATACCATCCAATGCACTTCTTTAATTCATTTTATCTTGTAATTTGTATATTAAAAAATTATATATTAATAATCTATATGTTAAGACAAATCAAACAAGATCACACATGACTATATTTAGACTTACACATTGAGAGAATTTGATGAGTCAAATTGCTTAGATGAACAGTTCCAAAAATCAAATATGGACAAATACAAGGGGACGGAGGGAGTACTACTTATACTCCAAACATTTCATATGTTTCTTCCTAATTCAATCCACTTTTGAAAAATGTTTCAAAACATTCAAAGAGTATGTGAAATGCGCTTGCCGAGATTGACTATAGTCGAACCACTTGGATGCTTATGTTACGAGCCGTTCGTGTCTACTTTATTCCGGTTTGGACAAGAGGAGAAGATTCGATGGAATTGATCTTTCATTATGAACATGTATAGTGTTCACAATTTTTTAATATTTGATTATATATTATTATTATAATTTAATTTTATCATTTTTCTTGTATCAATGTTTTTCCTAAGTATATAGTTTATAATTAGGCTATGCAACGCACGGGTACGAGTCTAGTTTGTGTACCAAAGGAAGCAGGCTTCTTTGCATTTCAAGGTCCGAACAATTATCCTATTCTTCTCCTTTATTGTTTTTTGGTTTTTTAGTTTTTAAAACTTTAACTTGAGTTTTTTTGTTTTTAAATGAAGTGCTTTAAAAATAATACTCTAAACAAAAATAATGAAATGAGAATAAAAGGAATATGGATTTTACATCCCTAGATATGATAAAAATGAGACTGAAATGAGAAAAATTGAGATATCGTTAAATTAGAAGATCAAGGTAATAAGAAAAGTAGAAAACCATACACCACACCCAATAGCCATTTAGGAAAAAAAATGTCAACCTATACCCTCAGGTCTGACCCAGATAGCCATTTAGGAAATCTGGTAATTAAACTTTTTCACACCTTCTATTGACCATTTGAAGGACACCCCGAGCCAATAGCCGGAAGGACTTGTGGGCTTAGGGCATAAGAAAAGAAAAAACTCAATAAACATTAGCATCACCTTAGCTCCAACTTTTGAAATTGGAGTCCAAATGAGAGCCCGCCAAAGCCCATCCACGTAGGCGGGCCTTTCAGTTTTGAGCATCGGGCTTAATGAGATGAAACCTTCTTAGCCCAAACCAAAAGCCGAGATGAAATTACGAGTCCACCCTTAGTTTCACTTCGAATTGCAAGGCTACCTCCCTTCCCCCATATCCTGAGAGGGCGGCTCAATCGTCTTCTCCAATCAGCTCCGCAGCCGGCCAACAATGGGGAAGAGCAACGATTCCATTGCGAAAAGGAAGAACAAAAAGATCAGAAGAAAGCAAAACGAATCCTCCACTGTTTCCGAGCGAGTGGCCGCCATTATCGCCGCCAATAAGCGCCGCCAGTCCGGCAAACGCCGCCTGTGCCAGGTGTTCTTTTCCTTACCCATTGATTTTTAATCCTCATTTGGTAGTGAATTACTGATTATGATATGATTTCTTCATTCTAAACAACGGAACTTACGTTTAAGTGTATTTTAAACTACTTTATCAGTCTATAAGATGAAAACTTTTGCTCAGCATATTGGCATTTCAAAATAGTGAAAATACTAAATCATCAAACATCTCAAATAGAATTTTGACTGGTAAAAAATGCTGAAAATAAGCACAGTTCTTAGCAAAATGTTTCTTCTTATTGACTGATATAGAAGTTTAAAACTGAGGGAGTAACAAAGTGTTCATTGTAGTGATTGTCTAAATAGCATTGTGCATATTGCTTATATGTATTTATTTCTAGTGATAACTTTACATTGACTTACAACGGTTGTAATCTATTATGAATAAACAGAGTATGTGTTTCAGCCTACCTACGCTCGAGGACCCCTTCAATGACAGGAATGGGAAACCAGATCCTCTGAAGATAAAAAAGCAGCTGAAATCCAAGAAAGATAAAAAAATTGAGAAAAAGAGGAATGCAGCAGATAAAAAGAATGTCCAACTCGAGAATTTACGGGCGGAGCTATTAGGGAAAGCCAAAAACCCAGAAAATACAGCACACCAAACTACTGGAAATGGGATTTTAGGCGATGCTGATGAGGGGGATATTTTTGATAAAAATGAAGATTGTCCATCGAAGTTCTTGATGTCATGCTTGAACACAATTCAGAATGCAGTGCTGCATGATGGAGCATTGAATAATGAGGCAGGCAACCCGTTTGTTGGGTCTTCTTGGGGGACTAAATTTTGGAACTGTTTTACCAGTGGAAAAGATATTATGGATACAAATCAATCACATTCTTGTGTTGAGCAAATTGCTTGGATTGCATCAACTGCTGCTGATAGTATTTCGAAAAAGCAGAAAGGACTATCATTGAGAAACCCTTTTCTTCTGTATCTTGTTCCTTCTCAAGAGAAAGCTGTTAAGGTTCTACATTCATTCATGTAATTTATATTTTTTTAAAAGCATAGTTATGATATTTGTCCTTGCAGGTATTTTTTTGTTTTTGCTCTGTATAAATTATTTTCTTTGCTATTCATCGCATTGGAGCAACGTGGGCAAATTTGAAGCTAGGGTCAGGTGACAAGAAGATATCGACAAATATGAGGAGAAGTTCTATCAGTCGGTGGTTAGACAAACTATGTTGTAGAGAGCATAGTGCTAGGTGGTGAAAAAAATTCACGTAAGGTCGCTTCAAGTGGGAAGAGATGAGGATGCTCAGGTAGATGTATGGTCATACGAGAATGAATAAATTCCGGAATGGGTTATTTGGGGAATTTTGGGAGTAATCCCTTTGGAGGATAAGTTGTAGGAAGCAAGACTGGGATGGATTGGAGTTTGGACAATTTATGAGTACGGAGGCCCCAGTGAGGAGATGCGAGATGCTTGGAAATGGGGGTGTTTGGAGGGATAGAGGTTGATCTAGCAAGAGTTAGATGGAAGTGATTAGACGAGACTTCAGGATCTTACGTAGGATATGACCTTATTTAGAATTATAGAATGTCTTCAGGTCCGTATGTTTAGGTAGATCTTCGGGCTTTAGTTTGTAGTTCCGATTGATGTGCTTTTATGCTTTAGTATGTAACTGCTGGCTGCCTGGCTGTTCCATGTGTACTTTCTGCCTGTGTTTCTAGTGTATGTATGGGTGTTTTTGTATGTTCTCTTACTCTATTTGTGCCGCACTGCTGCTTTCGTTTTTTGTTATGCTATTGGATTTTGAGTAGGGGGTTTGTTGAAAACAACCTCTCTACTTTCCAAGTAAGATCAAGGTCTGCATTCACACACACCCAAACCCCACTTTTGTGGAATTTTACTAGGTTGGTTGTTTTTTTGTTTGTCCCTCTCCGTTACAAAAACTGACAGGGCTCACAAACTTGAGTATTGCTATAGAAAGATGGAATCATGAGTTTCTCTTAGCTTAGGCAGTTAGACTAGAGAAAACTTTAGTTTCATTATGTGAGCCAGACCAGTTTTTTATTTTTAAAATGGAAGTGTATAGAAAGAGACTCTAAAGAAACAGTGTAAAATATAAGGATTGATAGTATTAAATATGCTTTTTTAGTAGGGACCTAAAACAATGTAATGCTACATTTCAAGGGAAAAAAGGCATTTTTTTGCCTTATTTAAATGTTAAGACTCAAGCATGGTTTATATAATTTCTAAACAACATGCCCAATATAGTCCCATCAAACGAGAGAGGCAACGCGTAAAAATCCACTACTCTTCTGCCATATTCTGTGATTGCCAAAGCTTCCTCTCTAAGGCCATGTCCTCGGGCAGCTTAGTTAAGTTGTCATATCTAATAAATTTCCTTTCGTTCTTTTTTGGCCGACCTCTACCTAGCTCCTACAATTGCTAAACTCCCACCCCTCGTTTCACCCATTCTCACCTTTTTAGCCAATAGAGCTAAAAGAGAGATTTTCTTACTGTGTTTTAGAAAGGACATACAAAATAAAATGACATATCACACTTCCCCCCTGCTTCTTACTTTATATGAAGTTTTGGGATGTAAATGTAGTACTGCATTAAGGGCTTACTGGAAATTGTCTCTTTGTTTTTTACAAGGTTAAGGTTGCATACGTCTTGACCCCCTTCCCAAAGATCCCAATGGATTTCAGATTATATTGTGTTTTGTGTTGTCGTTGATTTATATAAATATAGTTCAAATATTCTAGATATGTACGGAATTTTAACACATATCTCCATGTAGAGCCATTGAATGAAGTTGAATTGATATTGTGATGGGTTTGCTATTATTTGTGATTAATTTCTTAATATGCAGTGTCTTATTTGTCATTGAAAGCAATGTATATTTGTTCTTGGCCATTTTGAGCATTTTGCTAAACGCAATGTCTTATTTATCATTGAAGTTTATCAATTTTTTATTTATGATTAGGTGCGTCAAATTTTCAAGCCCTTAAAAACCCTTGGAATTCATACTATCAGTTTGCATTCAGGCGCCTCCATGGATCATCAAATTCAGGGGTTAGTATAATGTTCTTGCTTTTCTCCCATTTAGATTATTGTAGGCAATTAGATATGTAATAATAAAAAGTTCTATAAATAAAATACAGTCAATTGTGATAATTTCTTGCTTGTGTAAATTAGATATTGATCTTTTGTAGAATGTGATCATCTCTCTTATGAACATAATCAATATTATCGTGCACACCGTCATTTCACTCCTCCAAATACATTACTTGCTCTATATTTTGTTCTGCTTTTACACCTCTTTCGCCTTATGTCACTCCGACTTGAGGTATTTCTTGATTCCGGAAAGTGGTACTATTCGGGAATTTTTTCTCAAAGAAATTTATTTTTTTAAAATCCGGTTATATCCTAAAGAATATGACTGAGAATCAAAGTTGGCTCATACTTCTAAATTTTGAATAAATAATTTGGAATTCTTAGCATCTTTCTTTTTCTTTCCTAGCATCTTCTGGCTTACGGTCAGTATTTATTTTTGACAGGCTGAAGAGTTGTGATCCGCAGTTTCTTATTGCTACACCGGAGAGACTTCAAGAGCTCATCTCACATAATGCCATTGATATATCTGGGGTTTCTCTACTGGTACCAATATTTCCTTTCCCTATCTGTTTCGGGTATTGTTAAATCCACCCCATATTTGACTAAATCCGCCCCATTTATGGGAATTGGACAAGTTTATCCTTAACTAACTTCGCATGTTCTTTTTTTTAATAAATACATTTAAAGGGTAAATTTGTACATATATAACAAATGGGGTGGATTTAGCCTTTAGGCATTTAGCCAAAGTGTCTTTTTTATCCTCTTAGCAATTGTTTTAAAAACCACAAGATGGGTTGACGGGACCTAATAACAAACCCAGTAAAATCCCACGAAAAAAGCATTTTTTGTAGCAATGGGAACCTCCAATTTGATTATTTTTTATAACAATGACTATCAGGCTATCATAGTCTGTTTGGTCAAGGTATTTTTTGGGGTAATGGCTGAGTTTTTTTGAAAGGAAAAACATATGCTTATCCTCCTGATAGACATGTCTACCAAACAGAGCTTTACTCATTCGACTTGATTATTGGTTACAGGTTATTGAAGGACTGGACTATGAGGCTTGCAGTATCGATGCAATCAAAACCATTAAACACCTCATTTCTGGGAGGTCACAAACAGTCGTTTTCTGCGATTCCTCAAGAAGTCCTTATATTTCAGCTGTAGAGAAATTTTTGCAGGTTTCATTCTGCAAAATACCCTACGGCGCATGAACGGCGATTTCTTCATCGCTAGTCATTCTGTTCTAACACAGTAAGTGTCACTGTTTTTGATCTTTCATGTTGCATTTGTTTCCTTCACATTCTAAAGGTGGGGTTTTAGCCATTGTTGTTTAGGTGACCATTAAAGCTCCATTTGGAAGCTCTTTTGGCTTATTTATTTGGTTGGGATTGTTTTTACCAAATGCTTTTCTTTTTAAAGAAAATTCAACAGATTCAGCTGTGGGGACATTTTGGGCAAATACCTCTTACTACTTACCAAACATTGCCCTAATTCATTAGACTTAGGGCAAAATTGCTCTTCTTTTGGCTGGTGGGAAAGCTGTTCATGAACTACTAATGCCAATTGGCTACAGTTTTTTTATGCTTGTTGTTTTGTATAAGGAATTTGAAAATGCTTTGTTGTGTGAAAAATCTGTGGGTTATTTAACTTTTGATTTCTAACTTAGAGAACATGTTTACAATCACAAATAATAAAAAAAACAAGTCATTATAATCCAATGATAAAATTGTAATTCGAACTTTCTCTTATTTTGTGAGGAAAGATTTAAGTTTCAACATAGCCTCTGTTGGCATGTTAACTTTTGTTTTTTCCACCACTATTTTGTACTGAGAACATTATTTTGGAGAAGCAAATATATAGTCTTTTTGCTTGTTTTTTTTGTGAAAATCATATTACCTATAACTTAATCACTGTCACTCTCTTAATCCATGCCAAAGACTCTCTTAATCCATTTAGATTGCATTTGGTTGCATGGTTCTCATGTTGGCATTCCACACCTCAACCACAATCTCAAGCAACTGCAGAACAGCAACCTCGGCCTTCGCAACAACATCATCGGAAACCTCTGCCAGCGCACGATCCGCTGCACTCTGGAGGGAGAGGCAGTAGTTGCCGAACCACTCGTCCGCCCACTTCCGACACGCCTCCTTCGTCTCTGCCGGGGCGCGGGATCCGTCCTCCAAACAGTGACTTAAGCCGCGGTGGTAAACGCTCTCCATCGCCCACAGCACTGCCAGTCCGACCACGTAGTTTGCCTCTGGACCAACAAGGCTCCGAAGGAACTTAGAGAGGTCTTGTGTTGGTTGCAGGGGATCCTCAGCATTGTGTTGGTCGGCATTTCTGAACCGGATTCCGGTCTGAATCAGGCTTGCGTCCTCATTGGATTCGGGCAGGAGATTCGATAGGAAAGAGACAATGGCGTTTCTGGCCAGCCAGTGTTCTTGCCCCTATAACAAGAATCCTTTATATCCCACATAAAGATTAAAAAAATACGATAGTGGTGTTTGCTAGTACTATCCATCTCAGTCGATTCGTTTAATTTGACGTTTTTGAATTAAATTAAACGAATTCTAAACCCCAATGAAATAAAAACATCAGTATAAAAATAATTTAACTAGATGTATCTAGTTGTAAACTTTCAAAATTTGATTTCAATTGTATTCGAATTAGACTTTAATAAAACGAGATTAGACGAGGAGAAGAAGCTCACCAGGTAGGCTTTGAAGGAGGAGAAGGGAACGGCGCCGTCGCGGACGGCTTTGATGAAAGGGTGTCTGGCGGCGGCCGTGAACAACGCCTCATGTTTCCTCTCCCATCTTTCAGTCATTCTTTTTTCATTCCTTTCATATAATTTCCTCTCCATTATTTTATTTCTATTTTCAAATCTTATATTACTATTAATTCTTCTACCGGAGTGGTTTATATAATGGAGCGTTTTCAATTAGCGTTAGCGTTTTGGATAAAATATTAACGGTGTAGATTAATTCGGAAAACGCTAACGCTAAAAGCTACCGTCAGATAGCCTTTTAAAAACGTTAACGCTAATCTCTGACGCTAATGTCAAACGGGATCATTATCTTCTCCTCCGCCGCCGCGGCCGCGAGCACCCATTTTATAGCGGCTGGTGGCAGAGGGCTCTAGCAGGCGGCGCGTGCAAGCTAGCTGGTTCGCGAAGGTTATGTGTAACTTACACCTGTCGCATATCCTGGACTGATTGGACTCCACCTCATCTGGTTTGTGACTTTTACACGTGAATGGAGGTCGCCCATTAAGTGTCAAGCAATTACTTTAACAAAAATTTAAAAGATTTTTTTTAGTAATGTAGTTATTCGATTAAGTTTCTAAAAATATTTGAATGACTTTAATCTTGTAGTTGAATACTCCCTCCGTCCCGTTTTAAATTGTCTGTTTTGACTTTTGGATATAATTAAAGAAGAGAAAAAATAGAAATGATTTTTTGAAATTGACATTACTTTTTAGAAAAATGCTAGGGTGCCACCACATGAGTATTACCATGGGTGCACACATGCTTCGCACAGACGATAATTGTCTGTGCGACACAGACAATTATCGTCTGTGCTTGTCTGTGCGAAGCATAGGTGCACCCATGGTAGCACGCATGTGGTGGCACCCTAGCATGGTCCTACTTTTTAAGAGGGGTGACGATGAATGAGAAGATAAGGTGAGGAAGTGTGACTTGCTTTAGGGGTAGTTTAGGTATTTTACTCTTAAAAATTTACGATAACAAATAACAGTCAATTTATTTTGGGACGGAGAAAAAAGCTAAAGAAGCAATTTAAAACGGGACAGAGAAAGTATATCTTAACTAAAATGAATAGGTTAGTCTTGTACGGAGTAGTTAATAAATAAAAAGGAATGCATGATCTAAAATAATTTTAGATGGCTAAAAATAAATTTTATGAATTTTATAAGGTTCAAAATATATATTTACTGTAATTGGGAGAGGCCTATTTTCAAAAATAATAGGGAGTAATTTTATAGGGACGGTTTAATTTTTAAAAAAAATAGAGGGACAAGTCAAAACTTGCTAATTTTAGAAAGACCAAAACGAATTTAACCCTTAAAAAATATAAATTGAGTTGCAATAAAATAATTTAAGAGTGTAAGATTAAGTGAGTTGAAATTGTACCAAACAATAACATCTACAAAAATATTGAAAAATAACCATTGAAATAGCTGCCCAGTTTTCGATTTACGATTCTCATTTTTGAAAGCCCGCCCCAAAACATTTCAAAAACGCGTAACATTTGAAAATCCAATTTTCGGTTCCATATTATGTCTAGGATCGGAGCGAGCACGGTATGAGACGGTTTGGTATTTTTAAAGAACTTGGATCATTTTGTTACTACTCAAATGGATCCGGTGTGGTTCTGGTTTTACACTTAAACCAATCAGTACTATACTACTATGTCATTCGAAAACGAGGTCGTACCATCAACCATGCCATATTAATTTCAAACTATACCACAATATTTTGACTCTTTAAAAAATATTTTTATGCATAAAAAAAACCGACATAATTAAAAAAAATGGTGCACTGTTTTTATACGTTTTTACTCAATAAGTAGATTGTTTAGCTTCAATTTTTCGACAAACATAATTGGAGTTTAATTTTTTAATAAATAAAATTATAATTTGAATTGTACTCTGGAGTAATAAAGTGCTATAAAAACATAAATTTAAATATCTTAAATTCACACCAAATAAATATGGCTTAAATTTACTAAAAGATAACAAATAGAAATGTATAATTGATGGAGTAATAATTCAACATTTTTAGTAGTAACGATTCAATTCGGTATTTTGAGTTAAGAACTCGTCCCATATCGTTATCAAAACAGTTTGGTTCGTTTCGAGGTATGATTTACTAAAACACTTGAAAGCCCATTTTTTTGATCCCGTACAATGTTGGTCCAATTTGAAACAATGTCGAACCGATATTTTTGTCCATCCGAGTTGTGTTGGAAATAAAATTGGATCCATATTTTTGCCCACACCGAATGAGAAAGTCAAAGGGTAGAGTGCTAGTGTGGTCACATACATTGGGTGGAGCAGCGTCCGTCTTTTCCAGCATTGAATGGAATTGATGACCTTTGGTAGCGCAGCCCCCAATTTAGCCTGGCCACCGACGATTCATTTAATGATCAATTTTATGGGCGATTCTTGGTTTATATATATAATTCCACTCCTTTTCTGTTGTTTGATCAAAGAAACATAAATGATGATGATGGGTTCACTCGTCTCCTCATTGTTTTCTCACTACTATCTAATCCTCTTCACCTCTTTTCCTCTCTTGGTTTCCGCCTTCTTCTTCGTCGTCTTCCGCTCGAGGCATTCCAAGTTCAAAACCAACTTGCCTCCCGGGCCCCCGGGCTGGCCGCTGGTGGGCAACCTGTTCCAAGTTGCCCAGTCTGGGAAGACGTTTTTGCAGTACGTGAGAGATCTGGAGCCGAAATACGGCCCCATTTTCACTCTCAGGATGGGGACGCGGACAATGGTCATCGTAACGCGCGCCGATTTGGCCCACGAGGCTCTCGTCGAGAAGGGCCAGGTTTTCGCTAGCCGGCCCATGGAAACCCCGACCCGGACTATCTTTAGTAGCAATAAGTTTTCGGTCAATGCGTCTGTTTACGGGCCGGTCTGGCGTTCCCTTAGGAAAAATATGGTTCAAAACATGCTCAGCACGAGCCGGATGAAGGAGTTCCGGGGCACCAGAGTCGCCGCGATGGACAGGCTGGTCGAGAGGATCGGAACCGAGGCCGAAGCCGAGGGCGGGGCCGTTTGGGTGTTGGCCAATGCCCGGTTCACCATTTTTTGCATCTTGCTTGCAATGTGTTTCGGTGTTGAGATGGACGAGAAGAAAATCGACGAAGTCGATCGGACGATGAAGGCCGTCCTCATTGTTCTCGCTCCGAGGATTGACGATTTCCTCCCCATTTTAAGCCCCTTTTTCTCTGAACAGAGGAAAAGGGTGCTTGAAGTGAGGAAGAAGCAAGTTGAAACAATCGTCCCGTTGATCGAGAAGCGCCGCCGGGCACTAGAAAACTCCGACGAGACGGCAACGACGTTTTCCTACCTTGACACTCTCTTCGACCTCCACGTGAACGGCAAGAGCTCCGCACCGACAAATGCAGAGCTCGTGACCCTGGTTTCTGAGTTCCTCAACGGTGGCACCGACACGACCGCAACCGCGGTCGAGTGGGCCCTGGCGAGGCTAATCGAGAATCCCGACATGCAATCGAAGCTGTACTCGGAAATCAAGGGCGTGGTCGGGGACAAAAAGGTCGACGAGAAGGACCTAGACAAAATGCCCTACCTAAGCGCGGTCGTAAAAGAGGTTCTACGAAAACACCCTCCCACTTTCTTTGCCCTGACCCACGCGGTCACGGAGCCAACTAAACTGGGAGGGTACGACATACCGGTAGACTGCAACGTCGAGTTCTTTCTACCGGCCATATCCGAGGATCCGAAGATATGGACCGACCCCGAGACGTTCAACCCGGAGCGGTTCATCTCGGGCGGGGAGGACGCCGATATCACGGGGGTGACCGGAGTGAAGATGATGCCGTTTGGGGCGGGAAGAAGGATCTGCCCGGGGTTGGGAATGGCGACGGTGCACGTGAACTTGATGCTGGCGAGAATGGTACAAGAGTTCGAGTGGTCCGTTTACCCGGAAAACACCAAAGTGGATCTCAAAGATAAGTTTGAGTTCACGGTGGTCATGAAGAACCCGCTCAGAGCCAAGGTCAAGCCTAGAGAAGTCAAGCCATGCTGAATCATATTTTGAGTGACAATATAATTAGGGTACAGATAAATAAGTAATTAATTAATTAATTACATGGTTTGCTTCTCTCTTTCAAATTTCAATTGGTTGTCTATACATTGTTTATGGAGTATATATACTCATTCTGCACGTTCACCATGAATCAATAATGAGAAAATGTAAAATTGCCAAATTAAATTCTTTAATAGGATAAATAATGTTTTTTTTCCTCAAAGGGGATAAACAATGTTTTTCTTCAAAGAAGTCTTCCTCTTTTTTTGTGACAATAAAATACACTTGATTTTTTTGGACTTGGGAGTTGGAACATGTAAAGCATGGTTGACTTCATGCGGCGCCCCCCTCATTTGGCAACGATCTTGTTGTTGAGTTTAGGGTATGTAATTATGTTTGGAATATCGTTAGAGATTAGAGTTAGCGTTTTGAATATTTTACCGGTGCAGATTACTTTGAAAACACTAATGCTAAATGTTGCACGTAGATACCTTTTCAAAACGCTAATGTTTAACGTTATTCCCAAACAGGTATTTAGAGTTCTAAAAAAAGTACTAATAGTTTGTTATTTTTGTTTAGTTTTGACTTTTAGTACGGAGTAATTAATTAGTTTCAAGTTTTTACTTTAAATTAAATTAAATTTAGAAAGCATATTGATCAAATAAAACACTATTATGAAAATATTATTAATTTAACAATATTATTTTTGTATCAATATCTATGTATCGATTTTATTTTATAATTGGTCAAAGATTGTCAATTTTTATTATGAAAAATTAAAATTGGACAAATACTTAGGAACAAGTATTTCGTACTAGTTATCTAGCAGTATTGTTTAATTTTTACATTTTCAAAATTAGCCTTATGTGTCAAATGTTTGGGCCCCGCTGGCATTTCCTCGTTTTGTCACACTCCTAAGGTTATTATTAGTTGGCGACTTGGTGTCCGTATATGCACTTCTCATTATATCTTCATCATCAAAGAGGCTAGGGAGGGAGTTGGACATTAAAAAGTCACAACGACCTCATTATCTCCAACCGTGATGAGGAAGAAGAAGACAAGTATGGGGATTTAATGTTGTGTGGCGCACTATGCAGTTGGGCATTCATTGGATGCCAACATTATGGTTGCCCCTACACCCACCCTACTTTGCACCACACCTATAAAACCTTTCAATTAAGACCGGTCCTAAACTCGCCTTTAGCAGTAGAGCGATGCTAGGTTCACAAATAAAATTTTCACAAACTTAACAAATCAGATGTAAATTCTTATTTTAAAATTATTTTAGGCTACTTCATTTTTTTATTGAAGTTCACAAATATTAAATTTGTGAAATTTGTGACGATTTTATCTGTGAACCTACCAAGTATTTCCCTTAGCAGCAATATTGCACACCTAAAACTATCTTTTTGTAAAATTGTTGATTTATATCGTTCTAACTCCACAAAATTCTATGCTGTCAATTGACGATCCAAATAGGGGAGGGGGGGGGGGAGAAGTATGATGGTTAAGCGTAAGAACAATTAATTTTATGAATGAAATAAATGACACTAACTTTTCAAACGGAAAGGGCATTGGGATAAAAGAATTGATTTTGGGTATCATGAGTTATTAGTAGCAAAAAAATTGCTGCTGGGTACCCCTAATTTTGGGATAAAGACTAGTAGGTCCCATTGTTTTTCAAAATATACTCCGAGGTACCTTAAGATATTCGAAAATAAGGGGTACCTGGCAGCAATTTTTTGAGAAGAGAAGGAGGAGGAGGATAACGGAGAAGAAATATTAACGGAGAGTATGACGGATTGTCACCCCGGAGTCAGTTTTCGAATATCTTAAGGTACCTCGGAGTATATTTTGAAAAACAATGGGACCTGCTAGTCTTTATCTCAAAATTAGGGGTACCCAGCAATTTTTTGTATTAGTAGCACATGACATACAATTGAAAGATGTGTGATAACCAAATAAAGCTATTTAGGATATGAATACTCCGTAGTTATCTTCCATGCATATATTATAGGAGAAAAATTAAAGCATGTGTTTTACAAATGTGATTATGCTATACACATTTGGGATGGTATGGTACAATTGGCTAAACATCTCTTAACTAACCATAAATCCACCAAAAGTGGCAAAAGAGAATTATGAAGATCAGAAAGAGAAAATGGATATGTTGCATCGCAACTACATACTATTTATTACTTGTTTTTGCTCTTAGTGCTGCTGTATCATATATGTACTCCCTTTGTTCATAAAAACATTTTTAGTCACTCTTTTTTACTCCGTACTTGTCAAAGAAACTCCCCTAATTTTAGTCATCATATTCAAAAGCAATTTCGGTAAGTCAAAGGAAAAATGCCTCCCCCTCTCGAAATCTATTGAAAGTCAAAACGAAAAATCTTACTATATACAATGTTAGGATGTAGTTTTGAACAGTGTTCCCGCCCAAATAGAAGGCTGCATTGGACAGGTTTGGGCCTGATTGTGTTGGGCCGGTTTTGGGCCTATAAAAAGGCTAATGTAGAGGGTAATGAGTGTATTGTCCAATCAATTTTGGCTCCGTTTGGAAAATGGCATTTCGGCTCAAGATTGGCTTCTTTGACTATACTTGGCTGTTTTGAATAGTCAAACAGCTAATTTAAGTGTTTGGATAATGGCTTCTTTGTTTAGCAGCTTGGTCTGAACAGCCAAGATTCAAAATGCCAAGAAGAGGAGCGTTTATGTTCGGCAATTCATTCTTTTCCTATAGTGCCCTTTTTCAAGTATTTTCCTTTAAATAAGTATCTTTGTTTATTAAAATTAAAAACAGCATCTTCGTTATACACAAAGAAAAAATTGCTTTGATCCTTCAAAAAAATCAGCAGCTTCAAATTATGGATGATGTATGTTGTTTGTCTTTCTTCAAAGCCAGGTTCTCAATACTCAAATCTAAATTACTATGGAAAAAAATATGATGTCTTCTCCTAGATCTAAGCATCGTGCCATAGAGAAAAAAATTATAAAGATTCAGTGCAATTGATATTCACAATATATAAGAAACAAGAATGAAAAATAAACAAAAAGAAATAAAATAAAGACGCCTCGAAGTGAGATAAGGATGTCATTTATGGAGAAAAAAGACGGTGTATGTAAAAGTTTGAGAAAAAGTTCGAAAGAATTGAGTGAAAAAATACTCCATACCGAGTAAAGAATATAATGGGTACCCAAAATGATATAAAAAAAGTAATATGTATACAAAAATTTAAGTTACCTAAAAGTAATACATGAAAAAAATTAAGTATATATAAAAATAAATTTTATATATAAATATATATGTGTGTGTGTATATATATATATATACACACACACACATTAAAAAATAGAGTATGTAGTATGTCCTTAAAGGTAATTTCATTCGCAACAGCTAATTATGACCAGCTAAGTTTGCCAAACATTTTTTTCGTAACATCCAATTCAATCAGCTAGTTAAAACAGCCAACTCAACCAGCTATTCAAACCTGCCAACACAAACAGCCAACAACCAACTACTATTTTCCAAACAAGGCCTTTATGTATTGTCCAATCAGTCTTCTTTTGCTGCATAAAGTGGTGCGTGACTCCATAAAGCAAAAGTAATGATATTTTTTACAACCCAAGCATTAATTGCATGGATTTACAAAATATTTTGGAAACTGTGAACTGATGGATCTATTTCAACTTTTCAATATAGCCTCATTGATTAGTGTGTCTTTTCCCATCCAAAGCCGACCTATCACCCCTATGCTATAGTACAAAGTTCAATATATAAAGAGATTGAAACAAAACATTTTTAAAATCCTTAACAATTGCAATGTAAACTTTGTAAGAAGACTTCTCCAACTTAAGGTTTGAAAGCTCTTCATCTTCTACGCCTTATTTACAATTCTTCTTTTTTGTTGATAACCTTTCATTTCCCTTCTTTCTCTAACGACGTTTACTATATTGTAGTATATTCATAGATTAAATTCAAAAAACTCAAGGACAAATAAAAAAGAGAATTGATGATAGAGTAAAAACATTGAATAGTTAAAGGAGAATATATATATATATATACATACATACATACATACATACATATATATATACATATATATATAGAACAAATACAGTAACCAAAGGAGAATAATTAAAGGAGCATACATAGACATGATTAAATTCCTTATACTATGGACGCGTATCAATAAAAAAATCTAAACGAGCATATATATATATATATATATATATATATATATATATATATATATATATATATATATATATATATTCACAGATTTCTTTTAGTTGATAAAGTTTAATTTATGCTCAAAATAAAGTAACCAAACAAGTTCAATGCTCCAAATAACACAATAAGACAAAGGAGAGAAATTGCTTGAACAACAAATTATGATATACTCCGTGTATATATATATATATATATATATACACACACATACTCCTTTAATTATTCTCTTACAATATATAACATTAAAATTTATTTTTTAAAATTTTGTGGAATGTACAACTTGATAAAGTAGTACACTGAATTTGAAATCGGAAATGAATGTGAAAATGTGGGTAATGTGATGAACATGATATGCAGTTGGGTCACGAAGGCCGTCAAAAAATATTAAATGCAATTAACTTGCGTAAATTAAAACGAGAAAAAAAATATAAGAAAACAAGTGGAAATTAAATAAAGAAACCCAGAGACAAATCGATGAGCACGAGGAAGAAAAATCAAGAAACACTCCCACCACAGATTTCCACTATATACTTATGTGGGCTTTACTCCTATCTCTTCACTCTTTATTCTATTTTTTTATTCCAAAATATTTTTTTTTAAATCTGTGTTATCATACATACATATATATACATACATATATATTTATACACACACACATATATATATAGATATACATATATATATAAATATATATATATGTATATATATATATATATAAATATATGTGTGTGTGTATATATATATATATATGTACATACATATATATGTATATATATATATAAAATCGGATCTTTGATTATTAATTTTCAAAAATAACGAGTTAAATGAGAAAGAAAGAATTTGTAAAAAGATAAAGAGAGAAAGTTACATAGAAATAAAAATCTTACATTTATAAACGAAGATCCATCGAAAATCATCTAGGCTTTCCGACGGCGTAGAGACAGCGAGGGAGAGATCGAGACAAGCGACGACTTTCCGGTTGCGTAGAGACGGAGAGGGAGAGAACCGAGAGACCGAGACAAGCGAAAGGCGGAAATGGAGAGAGCGAAGAGATTCCGGTTATGGATGGTTTAGAAAATATATTTAGGTTTTATTAGTGGGCTGGATTTATACAATTGGGCTGGTGGATTAGTTTAAAATATTTTTTTTGTAAGGGGCTTAAATGGGTTGAAGGGTTTGAGTATATTTATTTCCGACCCAATTTAGGTCGGGTTTGGATTTAATTTTGACGGGTCAATTTCGAATATTTAATTTTTCAATTTTGATTTAATTTAAGATTTAATCGAGTTGATTGCAGTCAAATAGAACCATTTTTTGTTATTTTATTTAATATGTTTACAAACTTATTTTAATAAAATTCAATTAAAAATAACATATTTTTATACATTATTAGTTACTGTACTTATTGCACAATTAAAGCATGAATAAACAAAAAATATTTTAACGATCATTATATTCTTGATTGAATATTTCCCTATGATGTGTTTTAAGCCTAAATGTTAGCTTTTTTTGTAAGGTACTAAAAATGTTGGAAAGTATTCTATATGTAATGTATCCGGCATGCTCTTTTGATGAAATTTTAGAATGTTAACTATTAGTAAACCTATTATAATTATGACGAATATTATTTTTTTGTTATGAAATTCCAAATTTAGAAAGATAAGTATTAGCAATGTATCATTCTTTACGCTTACAAGAAATGGATAACATATTTCTTTTTATTATTAACTTTTTAAGTAAAACATCATGCTCATTCGTCTCATTTTAAATTGTCTTTTTTTGTTCGTCCTAATATAAATTGTCTGTTTTTTATAATCGTAAACTTTTAAGGATAAAATATCTAAATTAGCCCTAAAATAAGTCACTCCTCTTGCCCTTATCTTCTCATTCATCGCTACTCTCATAAAAAAATAAAGCATTTTTGAAAAGTCAACATAATTTGTAAAACACTATTGATAGTGTAAAATGAAGTTTACACTACCAATTTTTACACTATACCTTGGAGATGCTCTTAGTTTTTTGTTATGAAACCCTAAATGTAGAACAATAAATATTAGCAATGTATCATTTGCTACAAGTGTAGTTTATAAAGAAGTAGTGTTCCAAAACTTTTAACAGTTCGTATCGAATCTGGCCATTATTGTATAGAATTCCCTTATTGGGAAATCATATTAATTATGTAATCTTTCAGTTTTTGTAACATTTTTCATTATTTCAAACATTGACTAATTATATGTAAATTAATAGCCGTGCATCGCACGGGTACGAGTCTAGTGTTATTAGAAATGAAGGAAATACTAAGTATATACAACTAGACAAATATAAGTATATATCCCTTGTCTCGCATTAAGCTCTCAAATCGATAGTAGTTTTGTCTACTTAACTAAAAAATATGTAGAGAACGACTCGTGTTTTATGTACCCGTAGTATTTTTATTGGTCCTCCCAATGAAGTGATGAAAACATATTTTTCTACGTTATAAGACGAATATTTATGTGAAAGCTTGTTTTCTGGATGAAATTAACTTATCTTCCAAGATTTCATTTGAGTCCATGAGGTCATTGGGACTTTACATCTTTGGTTAAAATTAAAAAAACAACAATAACTTATTTGAATCACTTTTGAATTGATAATAATACCATTAGATGTAACAAAAATAACTCTTGGCTCCAACCAAACACCGCCATTGCCAACGACCTCAGTATCTTTCTAAGTTCTGATCGTGCAACTCCAATTCAGAAATCGCACTCGTGATTTCCATCTTAATTTGGGGTTTCACTGCGCTGGATCTTCATCTTGATCTGGCGACGAGAGGGAGGTTTTAGAATTTCAGGATCTTAATCTACGCTTTTCAGGCGATACCTAAAATCCACATACATTCCGGGCTAGGAACCGAAAATGGGAGTAGACGATGAGCTTTTGGACAGCAAGGCAAAGAGAATGAGAGATTTGCTGTCGAGTTTCTACTCTCTCGACCCGTCTTCTACCTCTGCACCTCCCTATGGTTCATCCAGATTCGCCACATTGGATACCATTAACACTGCCTCCTTTGACGCTGATCAGTACATGAACTTGCTGGTAGGACATCATTTCTAGCTTCTGAGACTCAGAGTTGCATAAACAGTTTTCTCTCGCTCTTGTGCTTTATCTTAATTAAAATCCTTGAATTTGCACTCCTGTTTAGGTCCAAAAGTCCAATTTGGAGGGATTGCTGCAGAGGCATGTTGAAATGGCTGCTGAGATTAAAAATTTAGATACTGACCTGCAGATGTTAGTGTATGAGAATTACAACAAGTTCATAAGTGCAACAGATACAATTAAAAGGTGAAAAATCTGTCCAAATTTACACTTCAACTTTCATTTTTATCAGTATAACTGTGAATGTGAAGAGAAAAAATTCAATTGAGTATGCAACCAATGAAATTACTACGGGTTTAGTACGGGCATTGTAAATTTGTATGAAACGATGAATTATAATCTTTTTTTGGAGCATGCTTACACTTAATTTATTGTTGTTTATTACGTACGGAGTACTTATTATTTGTTTTTTTACGTAGTATCTGTTTTTTGTTTTTCCTCTTTATCATGGCTCCAGGATGAATAGCAACATTGTTGGCATGGAAACAAATATGGAACAACTTCTTGAGAAGGTTCTTTGTAGATATTTCTTCAGTTAGTATATATTTTCAATCTCAACTATGTGTGGATATTTAGAATTAATTAAACTGTGTTGCATAAAAGTATCAATCTTTTACTTTAAAACTCTGCAGATAATGTCTGTGCAATCTAGAAGTGATGGGGTTAATAATTCTTTGTATGAAAAGAGAGAACATATAGAAAAGTTGCATCGAACACACAATTTTCTTCGTAAAGTGCAGGTATTTTTTGATTTATAAACACTTCTTGTTTTACTTTTTTCCTTTCTGAACAATGAATGTTTGATGTTTTTTTTGAAATATTAGATCAATTTCATTCTATGCGACTTAGATCCATTGTTTGCCCTTATGAGGATGATAAATGAACAACTTTTGTCTCAGCTTCCTTCGTCTGGTCTAATTTTAGCCTAAGTTATTCAACTATGGAAAAAACTTATCTACTTCTCTGCCAATTGAGGCCTAACAATTATTGAATAACATCAGTCAGGCATTTGTTTAAATTATAAATCGTCATTTAGGACAATGAGAAGTAATGTAAGGGATATGATTCCATCTTATGTCCCATGCATTGTGTAAATTATCAATTTTGGGCATGCATGGGTTACACCAGATTTCTTTTTTTTTGTGTGGACAAGAGCAGTTCATATATGACCTACCCACTACACTAGCAAAGTGTATCAAAGCAGAAACCTATGCTGATGCAGTCAAATACTATATTGGAGCGATGCCAATCTTTAAGGTTAGTTTTTTATTATTTGAACACTACAGTCTTTCACATTATTGATATAACCTTCTTCTGCCTGAAATTCTTAAATTTCCAGATTTGATATGTTGTTCATTATTTCTGTCATTTATCATCAGGCATATGGCGATTCATCATTCCAGGACTGTAAGCGAGCATCAGAAGAAGCGGTGGCTATCATCGTGAAAAACTTGCAGGCAATGCCCCTTTCCATTTATTATTCTTGATAACCCTGACTATTTTCCATTGTACCTTTTCTTCATTTTCTTGCCCTTGACGTTTTAATTTTTCTCCTGCTTTATCTTCACTCTTATGTCAAGTTAAAGGTCCATTATTGATGTGTGGTAGGATTAAATTTCCAAAACAAA